CCCGCCGGGCGCCCGCTTCCCCACGTCAGGCTCGGAGACCGGCGGGGGGTGCCGGGGCTGTGGGCCGTGCCCCCTCGGGCGGAGGTGCCCCGCTGCCCAGGCAGAGGCACTGCTGTGCTGAAAGCAGCTGGTCCCAGGGCTTCGTTCTGACCTCCCGTTTGGGGGGGGCAATTTCAGGGCCCAGCAGCCAATGACCTTCAGGGACAGGGATCCCACCCCTCTGCCCCGACCTGCTCACACAGCAGAGCTGGGCCAAGAGCCCGTCATCCCAGTGCTCTCGTTGCAGCCGAGGGGGCCCCGCTCCTGTCCCTGCATCGGGCTCGTGACCCCGGAGTCCAGGCCAGCCCCGGGTCTGTCCCCAGGTCCTGGCATGTAAGTGCTTCAACCTCCTGCTTCCCCAGGGACACACCCAGGACACAAACTCCTTCTTCATGTGCAAGAAGCTGCGCTCGCTGGGGGTGAAGGTGGAGCGGATCTCAGTGGTCCCTGACGACGTGGATGCCATTGCGGGCGAGATCACCTCCTTCGCCGCCAGGTTCACCTACGTCCTGACCTCGGGGGGCATCGGTCCCACTCACGATGACGTCACCTTTGAGGCAGTGGCCCAGGCCTTTGGGGAGCGGGTTGTCCCCCACCCGCATCTGGTGGCCCTGGTGCACAAGTTTTTTGGCAAGACTGACCCTGAGTGCCCTGAGATGAAGCTGGCTTGTGTGCCCGAATCCTCGCAACTGAACTATGGCACAGACCAGCGCACGGGTGCCGCTGCCAAATACCCACTGGTCAGTGTGCGCAATGTCTACCTCTTCCCAGGCATACCAGCACTGATGGAGCGGGCGCTGGAGGGGCTCAATCACCTCTTCCACAATGAGCAAACCCGCTTCTACTCTCGGGAGATCTATGTGGGGGCCGACGAGACCTGCATCGCAGCCGTGCTCAGCCAGGCGCAGGCCAGCTTTGGGAATCTCACTAGCTTGGGCTCCTACCCAGACTGGGCCAGCAATTACTACCGTGTGAAGCTGACCCTGGACTCAGAGTCGGAGCAGCACCTGGAGGAAGCCTACCGCTTCCTGATGGAGCGGCTGCCCGCTGGCACTGTGGTGCCCCTGGTCACGGACCCTGTGGCGCAGGCGGCCGTGGTGGTGTACGCTCTGGCTGAGTCCGGTATGGGGCTGGGGTCCAGGCTCCTTCCTGCTGCCTCTTGGGGGAGGGGGCAGCCTGACTCTGTGGGGCCATAAGTGGGGAGGAGATGCTGCTGGTTGCTGCACTGGCCTGTGGCTGAGGCCTGGGGTGGGACTGTCTCCTAACACAGGAGCTGCCTCCATGCGGCACTGGGCTGGGGGCTGCGTGACTTGGTTTTGGCTCACAACAGGGGTCTGAGATCTGTCTTCTGCTCCGACAGGGTGCAGGGGTCTCTGTCTGTGCAGCACTGGTGTGGTGGGAAGCCTGCAAGGGCTGATGTGCTTCCTCCGACCTGGGGGCCAGTGTGCAGGAGCTGCCTCCACTCTGGCGAGCGAGGGCTGTGCTGGCCAGGTCCCAGTGCCCTGATGCATTCTCCCCCCCAGCAGGTTCTGCCCTGGGCCAGAAGGTGGCGGCAGCGCTGCAGACCATTGAGGAGGCCCTGGACCGCTTCGGTCTGGACAGGGTCTGCGCTGGCTTCAATGGGGGCAAGGACTGCACAGCCCTGCTGCACCTGTTCCATGCTGTCACGCAGAGGTACCACAGCTGCCCGTGGGGAATGGGGCTGGTGCAGCGTGGGGAGGAGAGTGGTTCCTAGTGGGTAGAGGCAGGAGAACCCAGAAGCACTGGGGTGTCATGTCTCACTTGTGCAGGGTTTCCTGGGGGCAGGACTCCTGCGCTTCTGCCTCTACAAGTCTTCCTGACGCAGATGTTGTCCTTCCACAGGCGATACCCAGGGCATGTGGAACAGCTACAGGTGCTCTACATCCGTATCCCGTCCCCCTTCCCTGAGATGGAGCAGTTCATCCAGGCCACCACCCACAGGTTGGGAGGGGTGGGTTGGAGGGAGCTTTGGGGCCATTCCCATGTCCCCCCTGCAGGGGGTGAGGCAAAGAGCTCGGGGAGCATCTGAGCCAGGCCCTGCCATGTCTTTACCCTGGGTGCAGGTACAACCTCCGGCTGCACATGCTGCAAGGCGACATCCGGCAGGCCCTGGCTGAGCTGCGGGTGCAGCACCCTAAGCTGGAGGCTGTGCTGATGGGCACGCGCCGTACTGACCCCTACTCCTGCACGCTGACACCCATGTGCATGACTGACCCCGGCTGGCCCCCGTACATGCGGGTGAACCCCCTGCTGGTGCGTTGCAGTCACTGGACCACCTGGGTTTTGCCCTGGCTCTGGGAGGGTCGGATGGGTGGTTGGTAGGTGGGGGGGTCTGTGCCCAACTCAGGGAGAGGGATGGGGTCGAACACGGAGCTCTGGGAGCCTGGATGCCTGGGTTTTGCCCCAGGTCTGAGAGGGCAGTGAGGTCTGGTGGGGTCAAGCATGGAAGGTACCCAAGGTCAGGAGTCCTGGATCCCCCAGGGAGGGGCTGGGAAGAGGGCGTCTCAGGATCCCTCCACCACTGCTACAGGGCTGCTTCTTCCTGTGCAGAGGACCCCTGCCTCTGAGCTGGATCACTGCAGGCTGTGTCCCTTCACTCCCACAACTGCATTCCTGGGCCCCCAGTCCTGGTGGCAGGGGGAGATGAGTCCCAAGGAACATGAGCCAATGCTTCGCTCCCTGCTGTGCGCCCCTCCCGCCTCCAGCTGGCTGGCAGCCCTGAGGCCAGGAGCCTGGGCAGGGACAGGCCCTTCCTGCTGCCTGTGAAGCAGGATGAGCTGGGCTCTGCCCCTGACCAGACCCGGGCATGGAGGTTCATAGCTTCATAGATGTTAGGGTCGGAAGGGACCTCAATAGATCATCGAGTCCGACCCCCTGCATAAGCAGGAAAGAGGGCTGGGTCTAGATGACCCCAGCTAGATACTCATCTAACCTCCTCTTGAAGACCCCCAGGGTAGGGGAGAGCACCACCTCCCTTGGGAGCCCGTTCCAGACCTTGGCCACTCGAACTGTGAAGAAGTTCTTCCTAATGTCCAATCTAAATCTGCTGTCGGCTAGCTTGTGGCCATTATTTCTTGTAACCCCCGGGGGCGTGCAGGGCCAATGACAGCCCCGTGGGCTCTGCCTTTACAACGGCACTTTGATCTGCTCCACTCCCCTCTTCCCCCAGGACTGGACGTACCGGGACATCTGGGAGTTCCTGCGCACACTCTTCATCCCCTATTGCATCCTCTATGATAAGGGGTGAGTGCAGCGCTGGCCTTGGCTCCCTGCCTGTGCCCCCGGCACTCAGGGCCAGGGGTAGGGTATACATTGCCCCAGCTGGTGAGGAGTGGGATGCATGGGGCAGGTTACCAAGCCCTAGCAAGGGGGCTAGGACCTGCCCCTGCTGTGGTGTGGAGGGGGGTGGGCTGGCCCAGTGTCTTCCTCACATCTCCCCCTCTCCCCCCTTGCAGCTACACCTCTCTGGGAAGCATGAGCAACACACAGAAGAACCCGGCGCTGCGCTGCACTAATGCCCTGGGCAGGGAGAGCTACCGCCCAGCCTACCTGCTGGAGAACGAGGAGGATGAGCGCACCTCCCGCCAGTGACAGGCGCAGGTGCTGGGCCCCCTCCTGCCTCTGCTGTGCGCCAGCCCCTTGGGGCATGGCCTTATCCTGGCACTGCAGCTGCTGCCCCATCTAGGCCCTGCAAGGAGCAGGAGCATGGCTCTGGCACCGGGCAGGGTGCACAGTCCCCTGTGGCACTGGCTTCAGGTGCCCCAGGTGCTGTCCCTGAGCAGAAGGGTGGAGCCGGCAGGTGAGAAGAAACCTGCTTCTCTCAACCTACGCTATCCCCTTCCCCATGGGGGAACTGGGGCCGGAGTCTGACTCTCCTGGGAGCCAAAGACAGGATGCCTGGGCCAGTTCCATTCAGCTTCAGCCCCATGCAGCAAGTGTGGGCTGTGTGGGGGTGACCACAGCTGCCCTGGCTCCTGCCCTGCCCCCAGTCAGCAGTGCCACCCCTCCCCCACAGGGCTGGCTGCTGCCCGTTAAGCTGTGGAGAATGTGGCTGCAGTTTCCAGCACTTGCGCTGAGCCGCACTGGCTGTCACGTGCCTGCCGGTGGCAGACACGGCTGATCACTGGCCATGCACCTCCTGGAGAGCCTCCTGGCCCCAGGGCCCCGGCCCCTCCTGGTGCAGCCAGGCCCCTACCCCCTATGGCGGTCGGCTCGGGCTGTGGCACTGCCAGGGCCCCCCACCAAGCGCTTTGTGGGCCTCTCCCTGGGCTGCTGGTTGCTGCGCCTGCTGCGCCAGTGTGTCTACGCCTTGCTGTGTTGCTGGTGCATCCACGAGCTGCTGGACTAGGCCCCATGTGCGTCCCTGCACCCTGGTTTTTGGACTTGGAGCTGAGGCCTAGCTCTATCCCACCACGTTTGGGGGGGGACCTGAGCCTAGAGCAGGTGAGCAGGGGGAGGACTGGCCTCTGTGCTGGGAACCTAGGAGTCCTGGGGAACCCTGGGGGAGGGGGAGGCTGCCCCTGGCCTGAGGCACATTCCTGCAGCAGTGGGCTCTTTCTCCAGGTTCCTTCTTTTCCCTCTTGCAGGAAGCCTGGCGTGGACCCCCAGCACGGCAGTGTCCCAATGGGGTGGAAAGACTTGGCGTGTGGCCCCAGCTCCCCAATAAAATGCCCTGACTGACCTTCCTGTGTGTGAACTGCTGTGTGTTGGGGGGTTAAAGGAGGTCTGGGACCTAGGAGTCCTGCAGGAAGGAGCCGGGCCTGGGTTTTCCACAATCCTGCTGTTTATCCGGGTTCCTTCCTGTGCTTGTACCAGTGGCTGGAGCCTCCCCGGGGGCTGGAGGGGCCCCAACCTACACCCTCAGTCCAGGGCCAGTCCTATGGGCTTTGCACTGCCCCAGCCGCCCCCGCTGGGGAGCTAATCCGAGCCGGGTCGGAGCTGCTCTGCCCCGCGGCCCAGGGGTGCAGCAGCCCTGGCCCCCCCGACCCGGGAGCGAAGCCAGGCGTCCTGGCTCGCGCCCTGCTCTGCCGAGCCCAGGCGTCCGGCCGAGCCCCCTGCCCCGCTCCCGGCTGCAGGA